CGCGCCCCACCAAGGGGGGGGGAGGGGGCCGGGCGGGGAGGGGGGGGGGGGGCAGAGAAAACGCCCCCGAGGAAGAGGAGGCCGCGGGGGCGGGGGAGGGAGAGGGGGGGCCCGGCCGGGCCCCGCAAAAGGAAAGGGGAGGGGGGGGGGCCAGGGGGGGGGGGGGTCTTTCTTGTCTTGTTGGTTGTAGGGAGGTACATGGCAGTTGTTGCATATGTCGTGACGCGGTAGGGCAACGGCGACATGAGAGCCAAAATCTGTCGCTTGCTTCGTCTTAGTTGGGATTCTTGCATTCCCCTACCAACCACCAGCAAGAGGTCACAACAAACCCGACGGCGAGGGAATTCCGAATAGGCAACCCGCCTCAAGTCGATGATACGGAACGGTCGAGAGTTCGTCCACTCCCACCCGCAACGATGTTCACGGAGTTTATGTTCTCTCTCGCTGCTGCTTGCTGTACCGGCGGCGGCGGCGGTGCGATCAGGTGATCTTCAAGGAACGGTGGCACCAGAAGGAGGCCCGGCTAAGAAGGGCGTCAAAGCTGGGCCAAGCGAGAGAGTGGAGGCTGATGCCAGTCATCGGTGAGAAAATAGAAGAGAAGGTCGAGGGAGGGCAGCCAAGTCGACTCAAGAGGACGAGGACGTGCAAACCGTTGTTGCGGGTTGGCATTTACCCAATTTTTTCTTGTTTTTTTGTGCATGATGTGGTTATTGTGCTGGAGAGGTTGGCTGGGCTGTTGCTGTGATGACGAAATGAGTGCACTTGCTTGTTGCTGATGCTGTGGCTGCTGCTGCTGCTGCTGCTGCTGCTGCTTCTGTTATCTCCGCTGTCTTACGTGAATTCCGTTTTTTCCAATTTGGCTACAACCGTCGCTCCGCTGCTTGCTTGCCGACATGCACGCGCAGTCAAGGCCGGGGATGATCTACGGCAGGAGCAGCTGGCCTCGCAGTTCTTCGCTCTGGCTCACCGAATCCTCAAGCAGAGCCCCCTCCGTGCAAGAGCTGGACTCAGGTACTTTCATGCACTTCACGGAGTACATGATGCGACAAAATTTGGTGGTGGTGGCAATGTATTGTAGTCAGGTGCACGCATGCAGTGAAATAGTTTCATAGATACTCAGGAGTATCTGGTATGACAAAATTTGTTTGTGGAAGCAATCAACGGACGGTTTCGTTTTTTGTGGGGGTAACGCGTAGCGCAGCTTGTGTTCTTGTCCCGTGAACTGTTCGCCCGATGTTTTGGAGAACTCGACAAGCGTCGAGCTGCTGCGAGTCTCTCACTGCGGTATCCTCTACCGTCCCCCCTCCTTCTGCTGCTGTTGCTTCTGCTTTGCGGGTCATGGATTCGTGTGGCTGGAGAGTCGAACTCGTCGTAGTCGCTGTCGTAGATCTCGTAGATCTCGTAGATCTCTGCTCGCTTTGAAACGTATACGCTCCGTCCCTTGCGGCGTATCATCCTTCCCCCCTTCGTGTCGCGTGCTGCTCGCTGCCGTCCCCTGCGGCGTAAATCTCGTGGGTTCTCGGGTCTCCCGAACCTTTCCCAACTCCTCCAGACCGTACGATATCGTGGCGACGTCGCACGATGCCGGGATCATCGAAGCTATCCCTGACACCGTCTCGATCGACGCTCTCAAGAAGGTGTGCGGGGGGTGTCTTTGGTGTTGGTTTGGCCTCTGGCGGGCGCGCGCGCGCGGGGGGGGGGGGTAGGACGCGAAGGATGACGGAGCCACCGGGTGATTTGTGATGCTGTCTCGTGGTAGATATCGGGGTGTGGGATTGTGGTGTCATTGGGCGATATCGGTTAAGGCTCAAATGGAAAACCGGTTGAGGCGTTTTGTCACTTGTTTTATTCACGTGTACTATTACGGCAAGTGGCGACAACTACTCGGTAGTAGTTTCCATCCACACACCATAGTATTCTCATCTCGGCCGCGTGGTGGACACGTGATTCTGCGACGCCGCTCTTCCCCCATTGGTCCGTGCTACAGTACAAGTGAACAACAACGGGGGGAAGTGGACGCCCCCCACCCCGTCCACTCGCTGAGTGAACCGGTGCATAACACAAACCAGATTCCTACTTCTTCCAACTGAACCCCCTTGTTTTGCCTTGCGCTGCTCTCTCTCTCTCTCTCTCTCTCTCTCTCTCTGGTGTGTGTGGCGTCACGCAGAACGACCCGCTCTACACGACCCTGCTGGACTTCTTCCACCGTCACTTCGGACCCCCCGAGTCGGAAGGTTTCCAGCGCGCGCGGCGTTTCTTCGTGGAGTCCCTGGCCGCCAATTGCATCGTAACATACCTGCTGCAGGTGTGTGTGTGTGTGTGTGCTTTTTTTTCTTTTTTCGTACGATCGACCGCGCTTACGGGGTGACCAATGAAAAAGACGTCAGTCTCAGTGCGGTTGGGAACACATAATGCTTCTAAAGGCCAAAACCTAGGACCCTGTGACCGAGCGTCATGAGGGAGTCTACGCTTCTCTCTGGATTAAGGACAATGTGTGTGTTTTAGCATTGACCACGCTAACCGGCTGACCAATGAAAATGCGTCAGTACCAGCGGGTACAATCAAGGTCACAGGAGGGGGCCCAAAATTCGTGGCGCCAGTCCACGCACCTCTCTCGGTATGTACTGCGTGTTTGACGTGTTGTATCAGCCGGGGTGTCAGGAAGTCCACACAGGAGCCTCTTGACTGGGAAGGAAAAGGCCGTGCTGCAGGTGTTTGTTTTGGGGTGCATCGTTTGAGTTGGGGACTTTTTTGTGTCGTTTTTGTGTTGTGCGTGTAGAAGCGAGTTGGGGCGGACTTTTATCTGTTTTTCTTGAGGACGCCGACGTGCCGCCTCGATCGATTGTTCGAAAGCATGCCTGCTGGTCGGGGTCGGGTCTTCGTGAGATCAAAACGACGCAAACATGCTCATGTCTACAATTGCAAGCACTTGTACTGAGGTACGGTCGAATAGAGTCATTTGCACTTTTTTATGTGCCCTGTAAGTGAGCCAGTACCAGCGACCAGCGATTGTTAAAGATACTACAAAATGACGCAGAATCACCGACACAACGGGCGGATATTTAGAAAGAGGGACATTGTTTTTTGTTGCTGCCAATAATAGGAATGAAAGACGCCCCGCCCTTGCCTCGATCCGATGTTTAATACGACAGACACAAGCCATACAGTAGTAAAACGAGACACAATAAAAACAGGCTCGCTGTGATTTCCTGCTTTGGTCTTACCTTTGCTTATCCTTCGGTCTGTATTCAGGTGAAAGACCGCCACAACGGCAACATTCTGCTGGATGCTCGTGGCCGCGTCATCCACATCGACTTCGGCTTTATGCTGGCGAACAGCCCGGGCGGAAACTTCAACTGTGAGGAGGCAGCCAAGAAACCAAGAGCATTTCTAATACTAAGTACTTTGGAAGATTATGATCGTACTTGTAAGATGGAAGAAACCGGGTGGAATCGCGGCAGCTTTCATTCTCTGTGCGATGCGCTTAGACAGAAGTGTCCATGCCAACTTGACGACGAGTGGCGATCGATGACAGGTATCAGTCTCCGGGTTCGAAGCACCAGGATAAGGTTAAAAAAATGTGCGTGCATAAATACGCGTGCTTGTGTTTCCGTTTTTAATTTTCGCACACACGCTTGCTTGTCTGTCTTGTGCCATGCCGCCGGATTCCTGGATGTCGGACGACGGCCGCGCTGTTTCACCACACCAGTCGAGTCCGCTCCGTTCAAGCTTACGGCCGAGTTCGTCGACCTCATGGGGGGGCCATCTTCTACCTGCTTCAAGGGCTTCCGCGAGGTCAGTCGCTTGTGTTTGGTGGTTGTTGCTGTGTATTCGTGGGAACAAGTCAGCCGTTTAGCTGATTGCACGCAAGAAGCACGCCTGTGCATAGATGTGGAGACTGGTGTTGGATGTCGTTGCCTTCTCCGCCTGGTTTTCGCTTTTTCTCATCGCGGCAATTCTAATTTTGTTTGGAGCGGCCCATGAGGTATAGAAGGAATGAATCCGACGTTTTTTTTTCCATACGCACAGCAGTACAGGGATTCAAAATCGGGGTACAATTCCCGACGTGGTCAACCTTTACACCTGCTATTTTTTGCGAAAAATATGTTTGGCCTGAGCTGCCTTAGCGGGTAGAGGGACAGGCTCTCCTCATTCCACCAACACGCACGAACTGCTCGAGTAGACTGCTCGAGTAGCCTGCGTGAGTAGAGTCATCTCACCCGCAAAACCCCTTGGCACAGCATATAGCATATAGCAGTACTGTTGTGGGCCGAGGATACTGTGGGTTTTTGCCCTCCTGACACGGCACATGCATTACTACTTGAAAGCAATTTTATGCTGGGATGTGATATGTATGGAACAGTTGATATGATGTACGTAGGAATTTTATGTTCCCTTTCACACATAGACTTCACATACATTTTGGGATGGTGTTGGTGCACATACACGTGCATTTGCGCATGGTGTCTGTACAACTAACTTCCGGTGGTGTTTCTTGCCACATCTATGTGCAATTATCTATATCTGCAAAATTCGTGTCATTCATCACGCGTCTCCGCTCTTCGAACGAACGGTATTAATCTACAGGAGCACAACAACTTCGCATACATACATACATTCATACATACATACATACATACATACATACATACATACATACACTCCTCTTTCCTTTCGTCGCATACACTCGACCCGCACACACTTTGGCATCGCCATACAGCTTACGCGTGGCGGCGACCGCAAAGCGGTACGCCGCGAAGCGCCCTTGCATGACTGACGTATTTTCATTCGTCAGCCGGTCATGTAGCGCGGTCGATGCCCTTTTACCACACAAACATACACACACAGGCGGTTGGCGCGATCGATGCTAACATAACCCCCCGCCCCCAAGGAACGATTGGCCATCGGTGATCGGTCCTGTGGGAACAATGCTCCGCCCTCTCGAGGACGCGTGGTCAATGGTCTAACCGCTAAGACACGCAAAACATAAAGAGTACGCCCCCCCCCCCCCCCCCCCCCCCCCACGGGGACCGTCCGAAGTGTATTGTGCTGATGACTTAAAAGTCCCCGGTGAACCCTCTCCCCTGAACCCCCCTTGGGGGGAAAACCCACCTACCCCGCATTTGGGGGGGGGCGGAGGGGGTGCGGTC